GCGATTTGGACCTTATTACTCCATTTGTCAATAGTTTGCTTACGATAGGGTAAATATTGATCACGTAATTCTTTCATAACTTTCATAAGTACTCGGTGTAATTATCATCATCAAGATACGCTTACGACTATTAATCGTGTTGTCAAAATTCCTTCAAATTTTTCATTTTCGTTGTATAATCCTAATGTCAATATAAAATTAATTAGAGGCTAAAAATAAGACTAAATACTGAAACATAATATTGATGATATATACCTTTCTTAAATCTATAAGCGAATCTAAGTTCCTTTAATTCTTCTCGTGATTTTTGAACAGCTATCTCTGATTCTTGCGAAAGAAATCCTGAATAGACATCATTCTATAAGAGCAAATACTTTTTTACAATTTAATCCAAAATAATTTAACTCAATATAATATATGATTTAACATGTAATGAATTAGCGATAGAGACAATTTTTTGGAGGCGAATTCGAGTATCTAAAAATGTATCCCCCTTAAAAAAAGAGGTTACATAAGAATGTGGAAATATCTCTGAAAAGTAAATAACTTCATGGTTATGATACATACCAGCTGTGTTTTAACACGCCGCCCTTTATTTATATCTTCTACATTTTGTCTTCTTGTGCAACAAATTCCTAAATTCAATCATATATTAATATTATTAAATTTCATCAAGACAACTGATAATAAACAGTCGTACCGTTCAGCAATTTTTTTTTTTTAATTCTTCCTACCCAAGGGAACTTGGAGTCTTTGATAGAACAGACCTATTTTGATTTGCTCGACTTTGTGAAAGCAGGATACGAGAATGTAACCTTGAGAAGGAAATATTATTCATTTCTCGTTTCTTTCTTTTTTAAAAAATATATATAATAATAAGGGGAAAATGGTTTGATAAAAATTAATTGAGTTGCAACCCAATTGAGCCAATTGCGCCATTTGTCTTTAATCACACTGATCCAGGGACGATGTTTTGTTGTGGTGATATAAAGTAAATTTTATTGATTTTGTGGCATTTTTTATAATATTTTGTGATATTATGTGAAAATTTTTTATTACAATAAGTTTTGACGATCATTATTTAGGAGAGAGTATTATATAAAGAAAAACTACGCTCCACAGCATAACTTGATATAGGTAACCAAATATAATTCAATGCTATTTGAGAAAGAATTGGTAAACGCGTTGCTAAATTATTCCAATAAATATCCAATTTATTTTCTTCTATATTTTCATCAAATTCCAATCCACAATAAATACCCCATTCATGTAACAAA